TTAAGAACCCAAAGGTCACCTTTGGATGTTGTCGTGAAGCTTTGGTTACGAAGGCATGTGCCTTAAATTTATCAAGCAAGAGCCGGCACTGTTTGTAGAGTGGAGGAGTGATGCTCAAAGATGCTAAAATTGAAGCCATTCATATATTCGCCATCAGTCAGGCCACATCGCCCACTCGCCGGATCTCCGGTCGCCGATAAAAGTTCCAGTTCCGTTCCGGTGAAATCACTCAAACAATCTCCTCATCAATCCATTCACTACTTTCCCCTTCCCTTATTGCCTACTCGCCGTCGCTTAATCCACCGTTCCTTTTCTGTATCAATGGAATCTTCCGGCGTTAGCACGACGTCGCCGTCAGTCGTGAAGCTGAAACCTATTGAAGCAACCGCAGAAACTTTTAAAGAGTTTGGTCAGGTCATTGCTTTTGATTTCTATCATCATATATTGTTTATCGTGTTCAGGTTATTGCACTATTTTGTTGTTACTGATTCCTTGTTACTTGCTGTGTTTTTCTTCTCTGTCATTTTTTGTTTTTCATAACTACGATTAGCTGTATTCGAGCTGAGAATCCTCCAGAAACAGTTTCTCTACCTACACGAGATTCTATCATCATCTATTGTTTATTCTGTTTCGGTTATTGCATTATTTTGTTGTTAGTGTTTCCTTATACATGCTATGTTTTCTTCAATATTGTTTCTCATTTTTATACCTACTTTAATTTGTTGTACTCGAGCCAAGGGTCCTCCCGAAACAACCTCTCTACCTCTATGAGGTGTAGGGTTAAAGTTTGTGTACACTCTATCCTTACAAACCACACTTGTAGAAAATCACTGAGTATGCTGTTGTTAGTGGTGGTCAGGTAATTGAGGCGTCTCCAGATGGGGAAGAATTCGGTCCTCGTGATGCTCAGCTTGATTTGAGCAATGGGATTCCTAGGTTTTACATTATGCAGCTTAAAGATCGATCCCTCAAATTTTCCAAGATAACACATCATGCCAATGTCACTCAATGTCTTGGATCTATTGGAGGCAATGTTTGGTATCTTGGAGTTGCTAAGCCATCTATTGTAGATCCAACTGATATCAAGGGTGCTGTTGATATTGTTGTGCAGTCACATTGTGGGCATTTTTATGTGCCACCTGCTGTTGATGAAGTTCAGGCTTTCAGAATTTCAGGTCCAAAGTTTATAAAATTGAGTCATGGTACATGGCATGCTGGACCACTATTTACAGATGATAAGATGGATTTCTACAATCTGGAGCTGAACAATACGAATGTGGTTGATCACACAACTCATGACTTCATCAAGAAGAATGGTGTGGTTTTTGTACTTGATGATTAGAAAAACATCATACCAAAAAATTTGATTGATTGAGCTGTTTAAGTGCATTTTGATGTGGTTTCTTTATACTGAAATCATGCTTTTGATATGGTTATTAGTTATTACCCTGTATTTGCTAAAAGTTAGAGGCTTGCTATATAAATATATATCCATGTTCCATGTTGAAAATATTGTATTCAGTTGAACTTGAATGTGATAAGCTAGATACGCCACTGTTTTTTGCCTGTTCTTTTTGGGAATATGTAGGATGTGTACCTGGAATATGAGAAGAAGACATATGCAAAGCTGATCAACTCTATTGAAGCTCAGCCAAGCAAAGCATTGCAAGCAATTCTAAAGTCAACCTTGGCAAAGATTTATAAGAGGCAGAAGTAAGAGATAGAATTATTGAATTTCTGTATTTAATGTTTAGAATTATTTGTTCTTCTTTCATTTCACGGTGTGTTTGGTACCTGCTTGAAGCCCTACTATCTGAATTAGCACCAGAAAGTTCCACTTTGGTGATAACCTGCTCCGTACCATAGGTAACTCCATAGTATGCACAACTTTAGTGATAGTTATTTGTGCTTCTTCGAATGAATAAAACATGTCTGTATTTCATGAATTTTCTACTTTGTTCTATTGGCCTATTTCACATGTGTTTATTTTTCAAAATTGGAAGCAACATAATGTGTCTCTTGTTATTTACTGCTCCCTCCTTTCCAATTTGTATGACATTCTTTCCTTTTTAGTCAGTTCCAAAAACATATACCTTTCTATACTTACTAAAGTTTTAATATTAAGCTTTTTCTATCGTATTCTTAATGAGATAATTTATATACCCATATATTTATGGTCTACTTTAGACCACAAGTTTAAAAAATAAACGATTGCTGATTAGTGTATCCAACTTTAAAACACCTACAATTTTTTTTGAAATTGGTAACTTAAAAAACACCTACAATTGTCTTAGCGAAGGTATTAATCTAATCAGAAACTTATTCTAGAAGCAAGTAAATCCTCAGATTTTATGCTATGCCAAACGGCTTAATGCTCTGCACATGTATGTTCAATATTTATGCTCATTTTAAAAAACATGCCAAGGGTTACCAATTTGGATATATATTCAAATTGATTTGTTAAGAGAACAACCCAAGCCTGAACATTCCCTTGTATTTGTCAACAACCAAGCTCAACTTAGTAAGGAATTCAGTACACTCTAGTCCATCCAATCAATAATTGTTGATAGATGGCTCGCTATTCACTCTGTTTTTGGGTCATAATCATCAAATAGGAAAGATGTAGCATTGGGAATTGCTATGTAGACGCACATACAAAATTATTAGTTTGGATAGAAAATTGTCATTTATACTCAACTTCCCGGGACGAACTAAAGCTACTTCAATAATGATAAACCCCAGAGGGGCAGACACATGGTTTCAAAACTCGGGGAATGATAAAGCTCGCTCCTTGCCCTTCTCCACCTGAATATCATACTAACAAAACTTTAGACCTCATTAAGAAATCAAATCGAGTTCAAAAACAGCTACCACTGCATCACATCACTATACCCCTACATATATACAACAAGATAGTAATTGCCAATATTATTGGAACCACTAGTGTTACAATGAATATTGTAAAGTAGGAACTCCTATTGATCTTTGTCAGTCAAGTTAGCCTGTTCCAGGACATTTCTGATGTCACAGCATTTCCATAATAGACCTGCTTCGTGGAGTCATCCCAATAAGCCTGGAAAAGAGAGCATCATTAAGCAACTCAGGAATGGCAGAAAATGTGCCAAGTCTTTGAGATGCAGCATATTCCCTGATTTCTCCACTTACCAGGCTAATGGCTAATTGGAATTTAAGCAACAAACAGACAAACAACGAAGATCAGTTGACAGACAGCCAAACAAATAACATACACCATAGCATCTCTCCTTGAAAATAATGTGTCAATACATCCAATCACCAATGCAAATAGGTACGGACTAAGAGTTGATCCCTAGTGCAACCCCATCATAATCAAATTAGTAACAATATTCACTACTTATGCTGATGGAACATGACGTGTATCTAGTAAAATAGTCATAATGCACGTAATCCGATCCAAACACCACCGACATTTAAAAAAATAATAAAAAGTAGGTAAGCCCTACAAGAATTCACTGTATTATTTATTATATTTCCAGAAAATTAGTGGATTGGTGGCTAACTTTGAAATAATCTGTTTTTTCCATAATGAACTACTATGGCAAGTGATACATAATTGACCTATTTGTTTGATTTTATTCAACAACAATACGAAGAGCCCATTTGGATTGGCTTAAAAATGTAGCTTTTGAGTCAAAAATAAGAAGTCAAACTTAAATGACTTTAAGTCAAAAAAATAAAAGTAGGGGGAGGCCTACTTTTGGTTTTAACTTATTTTAAGTCATTTTAAAAACCTTGCCAAACACTTCCTAACTTATTCTAAGTTATTTTTATATTTGACAAATACTTCCAGAAGTCAAAAACAGACTTAAAAGTAGGTTTGACCAACTTTTAAGTTAATCCAAACACCCTCTAATTCATCAGCAACCCTTTGCCACTTTTCAACCAAACACACCACTATTTGTTTCCTATATAAGGAAAAAAAAGCATTGTATGCCAAAAACCTAAAATTCTCCTCTTTCCCTGAAACAAACGAAAACAACGTTGAAAAATGAGTGATCTAAGGTCAGAGTTCATGGGGGTTTATGAACAACTTAAAGGCAAAATCTTAAAGGATTTGGATATCAATTTAACTAATGGCGCTTGTGATTGGGTAGCAAAGGTAATTTTTAATTTCTTCTGCTTTTCTCCATTTTGATTATTTAGCAGGTGTTTGAATGTCCGATTTGGGATATGATTTCAATACCTATAATTTTAAATTTCACAAAATAGATTGATGCTTGCTGTGAAAAGATTGTTAGTGCCATGTGAAAAGATTGTGTTAAATAATTGCTTTGTATTTGAAAGTTTGACATGGAGATATGCAATTTATCAATGCGGCATCGTAGAATATTTCGATATGCTGTTTATGAACTATGGTTTGCTCATTTGGCAAGACTTTGTATAATAATTGAATTTTTCTTTATAGTTTTCTCAACTTGTGTGGTTTTCTTGTTAATGAGAAAATCATACAACTTGAAAATCCAAATTACATGTCCAAATAGAACTTCAACTTCAAACTAATTTATACTTCCCGTGATTTTTTCAGATGTTGAACCACAATCTACTTGGAGGTTGGAATGAAGTTCTAGTTCTACTTATTCTAAAAGTTTCTTCTGCTTTCATAATTTTTCATAGCTAAAAGTTTTTTTTCCAATTACTTTATACACTCTCTGTACAGGAAAGCTGAACCGCGGGCTCTCTGCTATTGATAGCTACAGTTTGTTGAAAGAAGGGAAACAACTAACCAGTGAGGAGATCATTCAAATATCCTCCCTTGGCTGGTGCATTGAATGGGTATGCAACATAAGCACTCTTCAAGCTACACCTGAGCCTTATTATAACCCCCAAGAAGCATTGTTAGTTTTTAAATTCTTCTGAGTGTATGGTTTGTGGGAATGTATGCTACAGCTTCAAGGATACTTCCTTGTTCATGATGATATAATGGATGGCTCTTCTAAACGCCGAGGTCAACCATGCTGGTTCAGATTATCCGAGGTGTGTGTGCATGCTAAGAGACTACTGTTTTTCTCTTTGAACTGTTGGGAGTGACTATTGTTTTAATATTTCTTGCAGGTTGGCATGATTGCTGTTAATGATGGCATACTTCTTCGCAACCACATTGCTGTTATTCTTAAACAGCACTTTAGAGGAAAGCCTTATTATGTTGATCTTCTTGAATTGTTTAATGAGGTGAGTCTTTTTATGCGCAAGGAGGCCTCTGAATTACACTTTTTATAATGCTGAACATTTTTACCTTTGGCTTTGCCAACATGTTTTTACAGGTGGAATACCAGACTGCCTCTGGACAAATGATAGATTTGATTACCACAAAAGGGAGAGATTTATCGAAGTACTCATTGCCTGTGTAAGGAAACTTCATCGATAATCTTGTAAAAAAATTCTGCTTTCAGTTTTACTTGAATTTTTTAACTAATTCATGATGTGATTTCATGCAGTCATAGGCGGATTGTCCAGTATAAAACTGCTTATTATTCATTTTATCTCCCAGTGAGTATGATATTCCTTCCTAATTGAGTTAACAGCTTGTTAGTCACTATTCATTATGAGGAGATCTTCAAGTCTATTTCTTTTTCTGAAATTTGCATTGTGTGGAAGAAATCTGTTGTTCTAAAACAATCTCAAATTTCTGAATCAACTTGAAGTAAATTAGCTATTTGCAACTTTTAGTTTACCAAACTTCTTATTTTTAGATTTCCGCCTGAGCTAAACCATGCCCTTTTCCCATTTATTATTTTAATGTTTTTGTTGTTTTATTCTCTAGATTCTTAATTTCAACCACAACTTCAAAAAAATTGTGCGTGCTTAGTTTGGGTAGATCTTTGTGTTCCTCTTAATGAACTCTCTGTACAGATTAATGGGAATTATCTCAAGATGATGTGCATTTGATTAAGGTATATACAAATTACTTAATCAATATTTTCAGGTGGCATGTGCACTTCTCATGGCCGGAGAGAATCTTGACAATCATGCTAATGGCAAGGACATACTCATCAAAATGGGAATATATTTCCAAGTTCAGGTAAGAATTATGATTAACCCTGATGCATCTATTCATGTATTATCTTCTATACCATGAGATCTATCTGACAACATTTCCACATCTCACAAATCAATTCTTTGCATAACATATAATTTTTTAAGAGAAGCTTGGTTTTGATGAAATTAGTTTCATAAATATGGTTGGAATACATTTTTGAAGCACACTTGCTTGTTTGGATTAGGTTTTGTATGTATATGAATCATGTTGATTTCCAGAAAGAAATGCTAGATTAGATCTGAACGAGTGGTTAATTTCATGCTTCTTAACATTGGAATTGAGATCAGCTGTCGATTTGCGTAATCCCCTTTAGAGTGGGTTTCCAAAAAGGGAACACCGGCATATATTAATAGTTGAAAATGTGGGAGTTATTATAAACAAATATGAAGTACTAAAACGTCTATAGATAGAAGCATTTGCTTCTTTTGTGAACCAAGTAGCTGGTTTGGAAGACTAGTTCTGATTTTGGTTCTCTTATTGAAAATCTAGAAAACTTTGTTTTGGGACATACCTTCGTTAAGTTTTCTGAAAAAAAAAATGGTTTTTGTTTCAGAAATGCAAAACGTTTGAAACCAAACTGGTCATTTATCTGTACATGACATACTCATTAACTTATGAAAGAAATATAGTAGAATATTCATTCTTATCGTTAACATTTGTTTTTAGAGTTAAAAGTTGTTTTTTTCAGCACATGACATTTCCTGTACTTACAAAAGAGCTGCATATCACCCCCTAACATGTCTGAATGTTCTGAGACACCTTGTCGACACGCTAAAGATTCATGTGCCATGAAAAAGTATTTGTTTTTTATGGATGTGGCTAACAATTATGTGTCTTACGAGTTACGTGATAGCCTATCTGATATGTCCAACTCATTTAGTTTGTTTCCCGAAATACCTAAGATCCCATCTGCAGACTGCAGATTTACTTTACAAATTCTGACTGAAAGCTTTCGGTCCTTTGTAGGATGATTACCTGGACTGCTTTGCTGATCCACGGGTGTTGGGTAAGGTAGGTTTTATAAGAAAGCTGGTACTAAACAAAATCCTGAAAATTGATCACGTAGCTCGTTTAATTTGAAAATGTAGAGATTTTATAACGATCTGTCTTACTATCAGAATGGCACGGATATTAAAGATTTCAAGTGCTCTTGGTTGGTTGTGAAAGCCCTAGAACTCTGCAACGAGGAGCAAAGGAAGTTATTGGATGTGAGCCTAAAAAACTTGTCTTCCCTTGGTTACATTATCTACAGCTATATAGCTCGAACTCTTCAAAAGTATTGTTGGGTGTGTTTTGAATCCTACTAAAGCTATGAGCGCGGCAATATTTTTGGAGGGCCCGAGCAACATAGCTATGCAAACAACTAGCATGAGCAAAATGCTAAATGTAAGAGCTTTGTTTGCAGGAGAACTATGGACAAGATGATGGAGCTTGTGTTGCTAAAATTAAGGCGCTCTATAAGGATCTCAAACTTGAGGTTTTCTTTTTTCCTTTCTTTACTAAGGCTGCTTTCTCTCATTTCTCTTTGATAAGTAGTCATGAAGTTGTATTCTTTTCATTGTAAAATGTCATCTCAAATATGGTATTTGAGAAGAGGTGGACTCAAGATTTAAACTTGATACCGTCAACCTTTTAAGTAACCCTATCCTACTTTTCAAATTATGAGTTTAGAATATAGTATTTATTAAAAGTTAGGGGTTTCTCACATGTATATCCATGCTCCGTATTGAAAATACTGCATTCGGTTGAACCCCTGTACCTAGTAAGCTATATACACCACTGACTTTGGCGTATTCCTTTTGTAAATTTTGTAGGATGTGTACCAGGAATATGAGAATAATACATATGAAGAGCTGAAAAACTCCATTGAAGATCAAGAAACCAAATTAAGCAAAGCAATGCAAGCAGTTCTCAAGTCATTCTTGGCAAAGATATATAAGAGGAAGAAGTAGGAGACAAAATTATTGAACTACAACATTTAATGTTTTAGAATTATTTGTGCTTCTGGTTTGTTTTTTTCACCGGTGTTGGGTATCTGCTTGGGGCCCGACTATTCCATATCTGTGTCCAGAGGCGGACTCAGGAATTGAAAGTGTCGGAGACACCTCTATCTTTAATAGATACATTCCATTTCTTTTCTTTATGTAACCTAGACATTTTCTTGGAGACATGGCTTCATCAAGAAGAATGGTGTGGTTTTTCCTACTGGATTATTAGGAAAATATCATTCAGTTTGAGGATTCAAAACTTGATTGATTGAGCTGTTTCAAGTGCATTTTAATATGGTTTCTTTATACTGGAATCATGCTTTTGATATGGTTATTAATTATTATTATCCTGTATTTGGAGGAAGTTAGGGTCTTGTTATGTTTGTGTGTTCTATGTTGAAAATATTGCATTCAGTTGAACTCGGATCTAACAAGCTAGACACGCCACGGTTTTTGGCTTATGCCTGACTATCTGAATTAGCACCAGAAAGTTCCACTTGGGTGATGACCCGCTCCCTACCATAGGTAACTCCATAGTGATACATCTTTAGTGATAATTATTTGTGCTTCTTCCAATAAATAAAACATGTCTATATTTCATGGATTTTCTACTTTGTTGTATTGGCCTATTTCACATGTGTTTATTTTTCAAAATTGGCCTACACAATGTGTCTCTTGTTATTTACTGATCCCTAAGTTTCAATTTGTGAAACATTCATCCTTTTTTGTCAGTAAAATTTAGATATCCAGCTTTCTATCTTAGTCTTAATGAGATACTTTATAATCACATATGTATATTTATAATTTGTTTTAGACCACAAGTTTTTCAAAAATAAACACTTGCTACCAATTAGTGTTAACCAAGGCAACATGAAGACATCCTCAATTGTCTTTGGTGAAGGCATTAATCTGATCACAAACTTGCTGTATAAGCAAGTAGAACCTCATATTTAATTGTATAGGAAATGGCTTAATAGTTACCATATATATATATAGTGTGTGCGTGTGTTTGTTTGTGTAAATTGATTTGTTAAGAGAACAACCCAAGCTTGAATTTTCCTTTTGCATTGGTCAACTACCAAACTCAACTTAATAAGGAATTTGGTACTCTGAACACAGTAACTCACGCTTGACTCAAGATCAGCCCAGTAAAATTAACTTCAATAAACCGATAATCACCAAGGGGTAGACACACGATTTCAAAAATAGGGGAACGATAAAGCTCGTCCCTAACAAAACTTTAAAACTCATTAAGAAATCAAATCGAATTCAAAAACAGTTACTACTGGATCACATCACTACAACCTTACATATATACAAGATAGTAACTGCTAATAATATTAGAACCACTGGTGTAACAATAAGTATGTAAAGCAGGAACTCCTATTGATCTTCGTCAGTTAGTTGGTCTATTCCAGGACGTTTCTGATGTCGCAGTATTTCCATAATAGACCTGCTTAGTGGAATCATCCCAATAAGCCTGGAAAAAAGAGCACCATTAAGTAACACAGCAATGGCAGAAAATGTGCCAAGTCTATAGCATGCAGCATCATCCAAATTACAGAAACTTGTGGTCCCTACTCCTGTCAACTGATATCGTTAGTTTATAGCCTGTAGGACCGGATATTAAAAAGGAGAGTGGAAGTCACAGGGGCACACAATCATCAGCATACAAAGCTTAATGGACAGATTAGTAAAGCACAAGTAGAATATCGAGACCAATAACCTCTAATCTGGATTGTGTTCAGGTGGTGTAACTAAGATACTAACAAGCAAAAGCAAAATCAAAATGTTAGTGTTCCACCAAACTGTAGCGTATCCAGGGAATGGAGAATTGTTGAATGCTTCAGCAATCTACTCTGATTTCTGCACTTACCAAGCTTGATGGCTAATTGGAATTTAAGAAACAAACAGAAAAACAAGGAAAATTGATAGACAGACATCCAAACAAAATTTAAGCTGCAAGCACAAGTTAAATTTTCTATTAGTTTTGAGTTTCCAACTTAAAAGGTTGTTTTTGATATCATAAGGAGGTGATTCATAAGTTAAAACACTCAACAAAGTCCACTGACGTTTTCTTTCATGATTCAATTTTGCTTTCTGACAAACTCATAATCTGAAATTAGGATGATATTCATTTTAATAGCTCACAATCAGTCTCACCTTCTCAGGAGAGCAAGATAATTTGGCTTTTGGATCGTGTATCATACACAAACAAAATTTCATCTTCCATGCAAGGAATAGAAAACACCTGTGCCAGAAGGATACCTGCCATCCAGATGGAAGATCTCTTGAAATGACATCCAGATCAGGTTGCTCATTTTCTTCAGATGGTTGCTTTTCAGCCTCCCTCATCTTTTCTACTCTTTTTCGTTTCACACGCTCTCGCCTGCATATCATAAATATAGTCAAGACAAATGTGAGGAACTATAATTTACTATGTTCAATGAATACGACACTGCTTGCACAATTGCATGAGTTAGCCTCGGTTCTTTAAGCGTGCATCCATATGATTCAAGCAATATATACATGCTGAAATAATTCAACAGCAAGGGAAAGAGTTTTTTGTTTCAAAAAAAAAAAAAGAATATCCCAACTTCCTTAAGATCAGTAACGCAAGGGAGAGGAGGAGGATCTAAGACAAGTCCACTATTTCAAGGACAGTTCCTAATAGATATAACATATAGATATTTTATCAGTGAAACAAAATGATCAGAAGTGGTACCAATCGCCGCCAAGTGGCTGGAAATTAGCATTATCTTTGGCCTCCCCACTTGCAATTTGCTGAGCACGCCATTCCTACAATCAAAACAAAGTTCAGCACACAATTAAAAAAAAGGCTAGATATACCAGAGGCTGTCTAATCAAACTGCATATAGCATTAGCAGACCTCTATTTCTCGTTGTCGTTTCTTCTCCAGCTTCTCAAGAGCACTTTCACGTTCTTCTTCCTCCTCCGCATGCAGCTCCTCTTTGGCAGCTTTCCACTAATGAAATGAATAAGCATTATGAGAATCATTTAAGAGAAACTGTAGCAAAATGTTGTAACCACTTTTCAAGGACCTGGGAAGGGAAGCACCAAGTGAAGGCAGTTACCTTGTCAACCAAGCTCGACACTTTCTTATTAGACCTTAATGTGGTCACCACACCCACAGTCCGCTTTTTACGCAAAACTGAAGAGAAAAAGAATGCAAAATCAGAATGGACAGCTTCATATCCATTGGAAAAGCTCCTTTAGTAAGCATGATGAAGAGTTTCACATGTTGATGCAGCAGAAAATCCCTCTTTTTTTTTATGACAAGGGAAACCCACAGCCGCTACCCTTTGGGTGCGCACAGGGTAAAACCCCCACTCCTATGCAATAGCTCGCAAACCACATAGGAGAGGTAACCCTCACTAGGCAAGTCTGGTGTGACGAACTCAACCCAGAAGGCAAACCCCTTGCTTTCGCTGGCAAGGGGTTTTGATATTAATGACATACTAAAAATGCAAGAATTGCAACTCACAAGTACAAGCAAATTTAGATTGCCCAACTTACCTTTTGATGGAGCTTTTGAGGGAGCAGTTGAAGCAGTAGCAACAGCGCCAGTGGCAACAGATGTTGAAGACACACCAACACCCTCCATTGCTGATGCGGTTTCTGTAGCTAAAGAGGATTGTGTGGCAGGAACATCAAAAGATGTCATTTCATTCACCAAATTAGCAGCTACATCAGCCTCAGATTTTGCTGATAAATCAGATCGTGACCCCTTGTTGACATCTAAGGATGGAATTGCATCAGGGGCAACATTTTCATGAACTGGTATAGCTGGAAGACCAGAAGACTCTGCACCACTGACAACAGAGACAGGCTGCAGTGCTCCATCCTGATGGCCATAGTATGCACTGGGGTCGACATGGTTGATCACCACAGGAGCCACACTATATGTAGTTGGGATTTGATAATATAAAGGGTGATGAGTAACAGCTATCTGACCATCAGAAGTTGCATATAAACTACTAGCAACTTCAGGATTAGTTTGCCCATAGTAATCAAATGTTGTACCCGGATAAGCTAAGTTGTAAGGAAAAGATTGCACTGATTCCATATTTGAAGGAACAGCATGTGTGTGATCTAGAGGTTCATCAGGTGGTGGTGGCGGAAAAGGTTCATTATCAGGAGGTGGAGGAGGAATCCAGTCTTCATCAGGTGGAGGAGGAACGGTAAGTGTTTGTTCCAGGATTGAGGACTCCAATTTTGTCTGTTGCACTAACAGACTTGGTCCATCCAGTGGGGCATGATTTGGGGCATGCAGTGCATCACACACAGTTAAGCTTCTTGAAGGTTCTGTATCTTCAACTTCCATATCCACATCCATGTCTACTTCCTCAGCCGAATGAAGCACTGTTTGAGGAGTTAAATCTTCATGTACAGGGACCCCAGTGGCTCCACTTTCCTCACTTGCATCACTGAAAGAATGAGCAAGTTGGTCAGACAAGAAGAAGCAACATTATAAGAAGAGAAAACTTATCATGTTCTTTACTATTAATATAACCAAGTTAAATACAGCATACACAGTGGCAGGACAGCTTGACCTCTCTCCATTATCACTGCCTCTGTGGGATTCATGACCAGCCTCAACATCATTCTGTTGTACTGATAAGAATAGCCCACAAAGTTGATTTATTTCTGAATCTAACAGTTTTATCTTCCTCTCGGAGTGCACCCAGAAGGGAAGTAATGAAAGCCCATTACAGGCTAAGGACCTTATATCAGCTAGCCTAATCTCAAGTTCCAATGCATATTTTGAAATTCGATCATACTGTACGTAAAATTCAGACCTGTTGAACAGGAAATAAATCAGTAAAATCAAACTAAGGAAAAGAAGGAGAGAGGTGAAAAGATCCTCCTGGAAACTTTTCAGATGTGCAACAAGAAAAACAAAAAGAGTGTTGGGAATAAAGATCCCTGGAGAAGTACAAAAAAACCTCAGTAGCATACCCTTTCATGGTCTCCAGTTGCTCTAGCAAACGTTCACAATGTTTTACCAGGTCAGAGGAAAAGTCTGCCTCAGTTTCATCTTCTGGAACATAATCTGCATCCCTGCATTTTGTAAAATCTTCACCTGACCCGTTCAAATGACCTTCAGGAGCATGATCTGATTGCCCTGAAGAAAGAGATCCACCAGGAGAAGATATTTCATTGCACTGTGAATCAATTTGTTCAGAGCCATTTATTGTGCCACTCTGGTCCTCATCATTGCCTCCTTTTTTATCATGTAAGTCGTCATCCATTGCCTTCCTGTATTCATTGATGTCGCTATAGCTGACGCCAGTCTGTCTAGTGTCCATATCATTTTTTGCAGAGGATTCTAAGTTCTCCAAGGTGGTGCTGCCCATGCATTCAGTTTCAGCAGTAACTTTCTCTTCTAACCTCGGTTCAGCTGCATGACCCAATATCTGAGGCACTTCCCATGAAGTCTCGCCTGTTACTGTGTTCCAATAATAGTACTGGTTACTCTCTTCGTGCAACACCATCTTCCACCCAGCACTTGCATCCCCTAGAGCCTGTGCATCCGAAGTTGTAGGAGCAGCAATCTGATCCAACACACTCAACTGTGCATGTAAATCAACTGAGACAGAAGCATTGTTTTCTTTAGAACTATCTTCTGCAGGTCTATCTGAGAGACTTGGTAGATCAGAGCCATTGTCAATAGCTTTCTCTTCAACTTCCATAACAGTAGAACCAATTTCCCCATTAACATCAGTTTCCTCGTCGCCAGAGTGCTTTCCCTAAGCAAAACGGACACAAAAACAAAACTATTAGATCAACTGCATGAAAGTAACTTCCCCATCCATCTAGGATGGAGAAGCTGAGTAGAAAATGTACAAGTGGAGGCAATGTCAGGCTAACAAAGAATAGTAACCTAGTCCGTAATCCAAAAGAATATAATCATTAGCATAACAAAACAACAAACTTTCAAAGAAAGCATCTCAAAAAAAAGCATAATTTATGTTCCAATAGTATCAGTAGTTGGAACTTTGGAAGGGAAGGCAATCACAAATGTATTAGAAGTGGTAGTTGCAGAACAAGTTGAAGCATAGGGTAAATAAGTGGGAGTCAAACTGAGAAAGTTCGTAAACAAATACAACACAGAACATTTCTTCTAATTTAAGGTTATAATTCACCTTCATATCACTGTCGAATCAGAATGCAAGCAAAAGAATCCACTTTGCCAAAACAATTGGCTCATCAACCTACAAATTATGTGGCCCATGGCAAGTGAATAAATTACCTACAGCTCACCTTGTCTTCATGATCAAGAGAAGAATCCTCTGAAGCAGCACGTTTAAGTCCTTCAACCGACTCCTCATCCACTTCATCGTCACTATATTGCCCAAGCAGCATAAGAGGATTCTCCGGTTCTTGACCTGAGGGCCAAATAGGAAATGTCAGAGAAGTTCGAGCCAAGTGATAAGAACACCCAATAAATATTATAATAAGGCCAGTATACAATTTAGGGCAACAAATATAACAACATTAGATAAAGAAGGCTGCTGAATTTAGGATAATTGTAGTTCATGGCCACCTGTAGCACATCATCAACTGTCAGAAAGTCATAAAGCAAATAAAGACAGAAACATACGAACCGAGGAGAGGAAATACTCTTCTTGTAATCGGTACGCCTTTGATGCCGCCAAAAAAGGCATGATAGGTAAGACGTTATTCAATAATTGACTGTGGCTGTGGCAGGGGCTGACGGTAACTGATGACCAATTGAAAGTTCCCAATACCACAGCAGGCTACATTCTGAAAACATAAACTTTTGTGGTACAAACAAGATGTCTTGTACAAAGTAAATCAATAATTTCCACCAACATTATCGGTCACATCATGTCTTCTCTACAAGTCCTTTGGAAGAAAACTGACGGAACCCACCTGAAGACGATGGTGAATTAGGTAGCTCGGCATGAATCTTGGAGTCTTCTTCCCCTCCAACCTCATCTTGGACAGAGGAGCCACCTAAATCTCCTACAAAGTAAACGAAATTGCTTGAATGTCAACATGCATACATAGAAAAAAAATCTTATAAAGAAGCACAAAGTGATTCAGTAGTACAGTAGATGCACATAATTTTCCTTCAAAAGGTTATCCATATCATGTAAGAAGCACAACGAGCAAAAAAAGGAAGTACATCCTCATGAAAGCCCTGCAGACATGCAACTTAACACATGAGACAATTATCATATGGGATAAGCTCTAGTGGATACAAGTATACACACAGGGTTACTTTTTCCTTTTTTTATTTTATTTTGTGAATTTATGGGATTTAACCTCAGTACTCTCTTAGTGTTGGATTTATTAAATATCTTAATACCTTACCATTTAAAAAAAATTCCCATAATGATCTTCGACAAGTAATCAAGTCTATACCAGCTAGGTTCAAATACAAGTAACTAACTAACAGAGAGACAACTGCAATAGCGACTAGAAAAGGCAGAGACTCTCAAGTCTCAATCACAGTCAAAGAAGGCTTAAAAAGTTGCTGGTCAAGCTCATGCAATGCCAACGTCAATGAAAAACTTATACCAGTTTTTAAAAGGGGCTCAGAAAGTGAAAATAAGGAGAAAAAAATATTTCATGATTGTGGTTTATTCAACAGTCACAAAATTCATCCATCAACATCTCTGGAAAGGAAAAATGACAGAAAAAGTTTTGCCAGATCAGGAAAACAAAACAAGCAGTACAATCAGAAAAAGCTAAAAACTTAAAGCTCATTAGCTAACATCATTCTCTTTATTAGAGAAAATAAAATCAATCACCTATGCATCTCTCTAAATGCATGAGGTAAATTGTATGAATTATACAAAACTCATGTTCCCTTCAAAATCCTTATTAGTTAATAATCGATTGGATATACTTAATCTGATGGTAAATTAGATATTCAAATAAATAATATTAAAGCAAATGACTATGCATTCATCAAAATTACTCTAATTTTTTTTGCTGGATATTAATCCACGTAACTATTCTTCATTTGGATTCAAAACTGACTAAGCCCACCAAGTTTATCATCATCGTCATACTCTAAATGGGAAGCTCCTAAATCCAAAGTTGAAAAACAAAAATTGATGAACCATTAATTCTACAATAATTTTGTACAAAAATGTGAATATACATTATAATGAATTTATTAAGTTACTGAACATCTCTTTATGTATACAGTGTATATGAACATCAAAATTAAAGTAGGAGCATTGCTTCTTGCCATCTTGAAAGATGTATTAATTACTTTATCAAGTTACTGAACATCTTTTCATATAAACAATGTATATGAACATGAAAAGTCCAAAAAAATATAGAATTATGCGACGACATTAATTCTTGTCATCTTAAAGGATATATAAATTATTTATTTATTGTTATTATTGAGGATAAGTCATAAAAAGTTGTTTTAAGCTATATACAATGAGAAAACAAAGGGCTGACAACAACTTAGAATCTCCTTTTTTTCGTCCATTCTTAAAATTGCCTTCAATAAAGTCTCCTCTCATTAGGGGTGCTTATGGGTCGGGTCGGTCAAATGTCATATATTATCACTTTGTAAACATTCTATATCGATCGATAATGAATTGTCATCATCGAAGAGTGAGGCAATGAGAATTCAAAAGGCCCTATTCATATATTATTATATGTGCTTAGTACTTTCTACAAAGTTTAGAGTTCTAACATTATCATCAAGGCTAAGGCCACATGCATGATCCTTTTGTTATATCATAATTAACTACTTTGTTGTCAATCCATCTGGATTATAAAATTTAGAGGTATTAACACAATTTTAGTTAATGGATATTCGTCTTTTTTTGTTACCGTGATCAAACTTCAATCTCATTTAATGTTTAATGTATTAATTACTTTTATTATTAGCTTATTTGCATTTTGGATATTATGGGATTAAAAACTTGAAGTTTCAGCTATAGTAAATACCTGTAAATTGTGAGGGTTTGACTGAGTAAAGAGGAATATTTAATTATAGAGTACATGCGGGATTTTATGGTAATCTTATTACTATTTATTCTAATTTGAATATGTTCCAAAATTTGAACAACCTATCCTACTTTTGGATGCTTGGGGATAAGATAAATATACATTTATTGTGCTTTGTTTGTACGTTCTGCGAAAATGTATATATTTCTTCTATGTGCCTTGCTAATTTCTTTTAAGGCATTTACATGCATTTATTAATTTTAAAGCATGAAGACATTGACATATTACCCTTCGGGGTGGCTAGTGGTTTGGGCTTGGGACTTCCATGTTGGAGGTCTCAAGTTCGAAACCCCTTGCCAGCAAAAGCAAGGGGTTTGCCTTCTGGGTCGAGCTAGTCGCACCGGGTTTGCCTAGTGCAGGTTACCTCTTCTATGTGGTTTGCGAGCTATTGCATAGGAGCGGAGGTTTTACCCTGTGCGCACCTAAAGGGTAGCGGCTGCGGGTTTCCCTTGTCATCAAAAAAAAAGAAAAAAGGCATTGACATATTCATACCATTAGAGGCTATACTATCTTAATTAGCATCAAATATTTCTTGCTTGATGGAAAATGCACCGTCCCGCTATTATGAATTTAATCTAATGATTGTAAATGGTAAAATTAGTATTGCTAATTTCACCCCTTCGGAACACTAGGATTTACCGAAAACAACCTCTTTACCTCCCAAGAGGGAGCAAGGTATTAACTCCAACTTTTAAATATATAGAAGTTCTATATAATGACAAGGGACAAAAGTGCAAGCCATGTTCCCAAAGACTAGTTTTTTCAGTAAGTGCATAGCTCAAAAAGTTTATTACCAAAATAAACTTGGTGAGCCACCGCTACATCAATCACACATCAATCTAAATGGATAAGCTAAACTATATGAACTACACAAAAACTTCTCTATTATACATCCATCAAAACCACTCTTATTTTACTCTAGCTATCAATCTACATAACATTCTTCACCCGGATTCGAAACCTACTATACTTCGCATAGCTCACCGTGTTTATTAGCTAAAAAATAACCAATTCAGAACGAATATTCAGTAATTTGCATCTGAAACAATATGTACATGAAAAGAGAGAGAAAAGTGAATTACCAGAGGGTTCCGCGAAGAGATCGAGCTTAACTCTCCGACCGGCTGCACCTTTTGCTGCAAGTTTACGCTCTTTTCTCCTCCCCATTGATTGATATTCACAATTTTAAGATTCGATTATTCAGAATTTTCACTTTTCAAATCCAATAAAAACCCTATATGCGCTCAATATATATATATTCTCAATAGACGAAGAAGAGAATGTAAATGGGTATTTTTAAGTGGATTTGAACAGGCCCGTTAATGATTATGGGCCAAAAGCCCAAATTTTCCTAGTGGGCTGGACTGTGGACCTAGTAGATTAGAGCAACAAAAATATAATCCCATAAAGTTTGGGGGGTTAGGGGTTTGGGGAGGTGG